CTGCTGTCAGTAAGGCTGAACAATATTTCCTTTCTTATAACTCAGTGTTAACTACTATAATCCAACCGAATCAACCAATCACAGTTTATATATATATATATATATATATATATATATATATATATATATATATATATATATATATATATATATATATATATATATATATATGGTTTGTTTGGTGACATTTAATCCCACGACAATTAATCCCGCGACAGTTAATGCCTGACACTTAATCCCGCGACAGATAGTCCCGTTGACACATTATATGCTCACTGATTGGCTAAGATCAAAAACAATTAACACCAACAGTAATCCATCAAATAAATAATAAGCTTATACATTATATGCTCACAGATAAGCCCTCCCGTGGACATGTAAAATAAGAAAAATAAAATAAATATATTTAACACAATTTAATAAAAGGTAATCAGAAGAACGAAATTTAAATGTAAAGTGAAAAAGAGAACTCAAAGTTAAATCCGGTTTTCTGGTGAAGTTTGCAACGCCAATGAATTGTCCCATTCGTACACTCCCTATGTTTGACAAATTCATATTGCTTGTGTAGCAAAGATTGCTTGCCTTTCGACGTTGTACCAAAAACGATCTTATCAGCCATAGGCTATTATTTTTTGTAGACTCTACACAGATATTACTAAAGATATTAATATTATTATTCAATTAATACTATTCCAAGTGTGTTAGCCAAGAAACTCTCTGATTTATATAGTGGGAGTTATGGTGGTTTTCATAATTTCTTAATTTCAGCCAATTCAGCCAATCCGGTCCGTGCTAGTTCTCGAAACACCAAAATTATTCATGCGATCATACTATTGTATAAGCTTATTATTTATTTGATGGATTACTATTGGTGTTAATTGTTTGTGATCTTAGCCTATCTGTGAGCGGATAACGTGTCAGCGGGACTATCTGTCGCGGGATTAAGTGTCAGGCATCAACTGTCGCGGGATTAATTGTCGTGGGATTAAATGTCCGTACACCATATATATATATATATATATATATATATATATATATATATATATATATATATATATATATATATATATATATATATATATATATATATATATATATATATATATATATATATATATATATATATATATTGTATTTAAAAACAACCCAGTGTAAGCAGTGGCTTATGGTAACATTCTGCCTTCCCCCTCAAGTCTGTGAACCATTTCCAATAATTATTCGAATGCTCGAGTCACCGTTTAAAAGCGACCGATCGGTTTGGAAAATCGACGTTTAAATCAGAAATAAAATCACGATGAGGCCTTTGGAAACATTCACGAGAAATGGTAAAGAAACTTATGACGTCTTTTGATATTTGTATATTTGTATATAAAAAAAATCGAAATCAATTTAAAAAAATATTGATTGAATGAAAATAATAAAATACATGTATTTTAGAAACCTAATTGCCACACATGATTTTAGCGACAAATAAATAATAGAGAAGGACATGTTAAACACTATATATGAGCAGCACATTTTCACGATCATCCCCAATTTTACAAACACATTTATATGAGTATTTATCCGCCAAGGCGTTGAAATTTTGAGTTTTAAACCATACCCTGAGCCGTAGTAGTCAGAATGAAAGGAGCAGGTATCGAATAGAAAACGCGTGGAATTTCCTTAAACTTCTTAGCAACCGTGCAGAGTAGATCATTCATATGAGGTTCCTGGGGTTAGCTATAAATAGTCCTGCATATTTTATACCATAGACATGTGAACGGTCTAACCACTAGGCCATCTGAGTTAGCTGGTTTGAATTGATGAAAAAAATATTAATCTAGATAAAAATAATCGGCGTTTGTTACCATTTCACGACTTGCAATTGTGTACAGAACTGACTGATGTTTGCCTTTGTGTCTGCGTATAGAATCTAAAAGATATTTTCTTCCCATCCACTCTCTTCGCATTAGAACGGTGTGATTGTCAGCCTTGATAATCCTCTAGGCTCGTACGCAAAAATGAAGCAAGAAAGGAAAATGACAAATCAGCATTTCTGAGTGGGAAACTGAGAGAAGCAATCGGTTTGACAAAGAGGAGTACCTTCCTACTCTTGTTAGAGATTTGAAGGGCCACCCAAACAAGTGCAGTCTAGAGAAGTGACATCTACGAATATAACAAGAGCTCGTCTGAGATTTCATGATGGAAGAAGTGTAGAAGAACAAGGCAGAATTGGTGCCGGGAAGAGAAAATAAAGCGCTAGAGAAGATTGAAAGGGGTTTCAAGTGCCATTATGCAAACTAGTTGAACTTCCAATAAAAAGTGAGGCAGAATGGAGAAAAAACATTATATCATTCAAGAGTAGGACAACGAGAATTGGCAGATGGAGGCCAATTTGTTTCCATTCACGGTTGCCTTCTCCATCCGTCACAGGATTGAATACTTGGACCAGATGTGTCAATGTGGTCTGACATGAGAAGTTCATTTGTCCTCGACATAGTGTTATGTATATTCGCATTGTGTGTTGGCTTTTTCCCATATATATTTAATTTTGTATTTTGTGATTGGCCTATCTGAGTAATGCCTTTTTCCATAAACAACATATTACAGAGTAAATTCTTCTCTATGACGATAGATTACATTGTATGATTTTATATTATTATTATTATTATTATTATTATTATTATTATTATTATTATTATTATTATTATTATTAAGGTGTTAACATGTTTACCTTGATTTGAATGCAAGATATGGCTATTGCTTGAGAGAAAGACGTTCTATCTGCCCTTTCCAGGGTAGCGTGCTACAATATAACAAATATATCGATAATTTGCTGGAAAATTCCACTGAGATGTCAGAGTTTATTCATAAAATGATTCTAATGATGTGAGGATGATAGGTATATAAAGTTGTTTACTTGAGAAGACTCATTTCGTAACGTAACATCAATGTTAATTATACAGTCAGGTTAGTAGAGGAAAACTGGCGTCGGATTAATCATACAGTCAGTTTAGTAGAGGACTACTGGCGTTGGATTAATCATACAGTCAGTTTAGTAGAGGACTATTGGCGTTATATTAACGATACAGCCAGTTTAGTAGAGGACTACATGCGTTATATTAATCATAGGGCAAGATTAGTAGAGGACTACAGGCGTTGGATTATTCATACAGTCAGTTTAGTAGAGGAATACTGGCGTTGGATTAATCATACAGCCAGTTTATTAGAGGACTTCTAGCGTTGGATTAACCATAAAGTCAGTTTAGTAGAGGACTACTGGCGTTGGAATAATCATACAGCCAGATTAATAGAGGACTACTGGCGTTGGATTAATCATACAGTTAGTTTAATAGAGGACTACTGGCGTTGGATTAACCATACAGTCAGTTTAGTAGAGGACTACTGGCGTTGGATTAACCATACAGTAAGTTTAGTAGAGGACTATTGGCATTATATTAACGATACAGCCAGTTTAGTAGAGGACTACTAGCGTTGGATTAATCATACAGTAAATTTAGTAGAGGACTACTGGCGTTGGATTAAGCATAAAATCAGTTTAGTAGAGGAATACTGGTGTTGGATTAATCATGAAGTCAGTTTAGTAGAGGACTACTGGCGTTGGATTAATCATACAGCCAGATTAATAGAAGACTACTGGCGTTGGATTAACCATACAGTCAGTTTAGTAGAAGACTACTGGAGTTGGATTAACCATACAGTCAGTTTAGTAGAGGACTACTGGCGTTATATTAATCATACAGTCGGTTTAGTAGAAGACAACTGGCGTTGGATTAATCATAGTCAGTTTAGTAGAGGACTACTGACGTTGGATTAATCATACAGTCAGTTTAGTAGAAGACTACTGGCGTTGGATTAACCATACAGTCAGTTTAGTAGAGGGCTATTGGCGTTATATTAATCATACAGTCAGTTTAGTAGAAGACTACTGGCATTGGATTAACCATACAGTCAGTTTAGTAGAGGACTACTGGCGTTATATTAATCATACAGTCAGTTTAGTAGAAGACAACTGGCGTTGGATTAATCATACAGTCAGTTTAGTAGAGGACTACTGACGTTGGATTAATCATACAGTCAGTTTAGTAGAAGACTACTGGCGTTGGATTAACCATACAGTCAGTTTAGTAGAGGGCATTGGCGTTATATTAATCATACAGTCAGTTTAGTAGAAGACTACTGGCATTGGATTAACAATACAGTCAGTTTAGTAGAGGACTACTGGTGTTGGATTAATCATACAGTCAGTTTAGTAGAGGACTACTGGCGTTGGATTGATCATACAGTCAGTTTAGTAGAGGACTACTGGCGTTGGATTAACCATACAGTCAGTTTAGTAGAGGACTACTGGCGTTATATTAATCATACAGTCAGTTTTGTAGAAGACTACTGGCGTTGGATTAACCATCCAGTTAGTTTAGTAGAGGACTACATGCGCTATATTAATCATACAGCAAGATTAGTAGAGGACTACTGGCGTTGGATTAATCATACAGCCAGTTTAGTAGAGGACTACTGGCGTTGGATTAATCATACAGTTGATATAGTAGAGGACTGTACTGGCGTTGGATTTTCCAATCTTCGTTAAGCCATAAATGTTGAATAATCTGCACAAGAAACTTTCACATCTACAATCACAAGAAAAGACCGAATTAAACAGCTATTATTTGAATCTAATCACTCGTTTCCGATGATACAACATGAATAAAACAAAATCTACCACAACGCTGAAATTGTAGATTCGGTATATATGAAACAGTCAAGGATTATCCCTCGGAAACACAAATGTTTGAAAGGAGAAATTCAGCATTTGCTAAATAATGAAAGAAGATAACCATGTAAAAGTAATTGGACACAATAATGAATTGCTGTACCAAAAGCAGATACAATTATCAGCATGTGCACAGACATATAAGCAGTGTGACCAGCTAGACTCATTTACAGAGCTAAAAATCGATGACTGTTTTGGCAAAATTGGAAATACAAATTGTTTTACCAATTTGGTGGTTTAGTGGTTAGAGCGCCCGCCTGCTTCAGATGCTGAAGGTCGTAGGTTAGATTCCCGACCGAGATATACCAAAGACTTACAAAAATAATACTAATAGCTGCGTCGCTTGGCGCTCAGCATTAAGACATTAGTATAGAAAAGTCAACTTCTTGAGTTTCCAGGGGAATAAATTATTAAATCCAAAAATCAATCGAATAACAAATATTCTTGGCAACGAATTAAAAAGAAACCATACACCTTGTACCTTTAAGGTTTTGAATGACTCTGCCCGAAAAATATTAGGATTCCGTATTAGAACCCCAATGCTGCATTTGAAGTCTCGCGAAATTAGTCATATGGTCTCTTGCTACACTATTTTTTTTCACGTCCGTCTGTATAGATCGATGTAAAAACTAATCATAAAAGAGGTTGTTTACAAACAGTGATCACGCGAAGAAAGTATGTCCGTGATATTTTAACTTCCTGTTGATATTGTAACCAGGGTAAGACGGACTCACTGATAATTCTCAGGTATTATTATTTCATCTTAAGTGCTTTGTGCTAAAATATATCTCGCTCCTAAAATTAGAATCCCGAATCCGAGAAAAATAGTCATTGTAGTTAAATATAATGAAACAAAAATGAAATAAAAATAATTTTAAACCTTACACACGAGCAATTTAATCACATATACGTAACAAAATTTGGTTTTTATCATGATCATAATTAAAATAACTAAACATGTTCATCATTGAAATTTCGCTACAATTTACCTGGTGTACTTGACAAAATTCATATTGTTTATTATAATTTTAGTAACAGACTTTTTATTTAGAACTTACATTTTATTTTCTAAGTATTAAGAAGTTTCTAAAATGTTATTTTCCTGTTGGTAATTATTTTATGGGGTTTGATTTTGAAAAAGCTAATTGTGACCTCAAGACAATAAATATATCATAAAATCTTGTTGCTGAAAATTTTATTCATTCGGGCTTTCACGTCCGAGCATAATCAAGTTATTACAATAAACAGTGTTTGATTTTAATTATTCAGATTAATTCTTTTCTGGCAATACAAATGTGATCTGATAACATTCTTTGAAATTCAGACTTATATTTATAGTGAAATTTCATTTAAGGATTTATTCTTTGATTGTATTATTGTGATTAAACAAAAGACGGTTTTGTGTTTAAATTTTATTTTATGTTTAAAATTCGTGTCTGATCCAAAGAGAGACTCATTAATCATATTTAATGCGATTTTATCCAAAATATCTTTGCTACCAGATATTGGGGGTGGGGGTGGTTAAGGGCCCGAGTGGCCGAGTGGTCTCAAGCGCTGTCCGTTACGGATGACTGCCATCTCACCTCTGTCTGCGTGGGTTCGAGTCTAGGATTCAGCGAATGTGGATATGTGAGAAAGCTTGGCAGCAGCTTCTCGCAAGTCTGCGTTTCTTTCTTGGGATTTCCCGGCTTCTTCCTCCACAATTAATACTGGCCGCACTTTAAAGACTATGGCGTGCAGATTAATGGCGTCAAGCCCCACGACAACAACAACAACAACAACAACAACCAGATTCTGGACCAACTTTTTATTTCTTGATTCCTTAAAGAAGCCTTCCAACAGAGAGATCATATGTTTTAAGGACGTTATCCTTTCCTGGGTGGGATTTAAAATAAATTTTACCACTTTAGATAACATTGTGAAAACTGTTTGGTTTCATTATTGATATCTCAAATATGTAACATAATAATTGGAACTTAGAAAAATCCTAACACAGTGAATTTAAATTTTAAAACAAAGTTTTTCCAAACATTTTAGTTAAATTCGTATCTCATACAGGAATTCGTATCTCATACAGGAACCCCAAATTTTATGATGCGAATCCATAGTTTAAACTAAGTAATAGAAAAAAATGGAAAACCCTAAATATTGTAAAATTCAATAAAGTATTTATTTCCTTATAATACAAAATTAAAATTTTAAAAAACTCACAGTAATGCTAATTAAATCACAAACAATCCAATCTTCTTTTCACCAGCCATATTGCATAAATTAATATTAAATTCAAGTGGAAATATGATCCAGAACTGAGGGTGTTGATGTGCCTGATGGAAAAGAGTAATTTCTCAGGTAAACAAAAAAAGGTTTTTTAACGAAAAATTCCTTTCTAGGAGATTCTGATACTAAAGAGGGAAATATAATGTCTTTGTTTCAGACTTAGATAACGATACTAATATTTAATCTACACTCTCATAACAATACTAGCTAGTTATTATTTGTTTACCAAAACAAAACGTCAGTGTCCTTAGTCAGCAACACAGCAAACTCTATTTTGGACAAGGTCAATTAAACAAAAATGCAAGTGTTCATATTATATAATGAATTAGAATCTAACAAACACAGCAAATTAAATATACAAAACATGAATTAATTATAGTTTGTTCAGCTAATGTTTTAAGACGCTTTATTTATGTAAATTAATGTTTATGTATTGAAGTATACTAATGTTTTAGTTTGCGCTCTTTTCTGTTAATTTGTTTAAGACCATATAGTCATAACATTCAATATCCTTTGTCGATCCAAAACACCCTGCTAAAATCCAGATTTATAAAAAAGTGATACTACTCAATCAATTATAAAAAACTGTGTTTTTATGTTTGTCTTAATGTAAATCTATGTTATGTGTTCGCATACCAAATTGCAGCTTGATGGCACCTCATCCCACTTGTGTGTGTATTTATGGTTATGGCTTGACAATGTTAACATAGTATTTTAAGTATGACTCCAAACTGATATTAATAAACATATCGAATAATCTAATAACAGTATTATCGATCGATGAAAATTCAGGATAGAATTATTTTGTATTTTGATGACATTACAGTTGATTTGATTCACGTTTCTAGTTACTATCTGCATTCACTTTATCAGATGCTTCTAAGATATGAACACATATAATTTTCATACGTCATTAATGATTAATGTGTGGAAATTCATAAATGATTTAGTACCAACAGCATTACAAAATGCATCTTCCTTGTGAATATAGCTTACCTTCTCTAAATATAAAGCCCAACATATTTTAATCGTTGTCAATATTTGGAAACATGAGATATTTCACTTTCTCCAAGGACAGATATACGCGAATTTCCTCAAAAGGCACATTTCGGGCACAACCAGTAGAGCCGCGGTAGCCGAAAATGTAGATACGTCGCTCCCTGTTACAGAAATATGAAGGCAAACAGACATGTTCGTGTAAAGATTTGTATTAAATCTATTATAGAGAAATATGACCATCAAAGTCTAACATAACATGGTGAGGAATAAAGTCACGAGACAATGGCACAAGAAAATTGGATCTCTTGGATGCTATTTAAAACCACTGCAATTTATTATGGAGTAGTTATTGTTAAAAATCCTGACTTAGAATATACTGTCGCCATAATCTTTACAATATAGAAAAGAAAACATGCGTACTTGAGCCTTTGTGTTTGAACCTGCCATCCAACTTTGCTTTCTGCAGTTCCCAACATTTGTTCGTAAACTATGCACAAACAAAATATTACAATACCGATTTAAGCTTTTCGGGTATGTACAATATTTGTTTTTTAGTGATGTGAATAAAATTCATTATCTCACCTGACACATTTGACAGTAATTGATAATAAATCATTCAAAACAGTCATAAAGTGAATTAACTGATTAATAAGATTTTATTTTTTCTAGGACACTTTGGGAAAGGTTCCCACACGATCGTCATCTGCTGCTAATTGTTCAAAGAGTTTTCTGTATTGAGGAGGGACTCGCATCAGTGATTGTAATGGCTTGGGTATGAAAATTTATTTGTTTTCGTAAAATTTTGTATTGCTATGTAGCAATATTTGGTAGAATATACATTGCTGCCAGTATACTTTTTGGAGGAAGAATGCGGGTAGACCCAGGAAAGAGACCCAGATCCACGGGAGGCTACACACCTTCGTTGTTCGATCGGATATAAGAGACCCAGATCCACGGGAGGTTACACATCTTCGTTGTTCGCTCGGACATAAGAGAGTTGTGAGTGATTAGTTAAGGTCATGATCTTACACATCTGAGTCACCCTGTGCCGAGGAAACTTTATTGCGACTGTTTACTATTTAATCCATTTGGCAAGATAAAATATTGACGATAATAATTTCGTTTATTATACAGACATTAGCAGATCTTCACTTTAACTCTTAAATTTAAACGAAAAATAGTTTGACTTGGTAAGTAAAGAATTATAACCCTCGGCAGGACGATCGGTACTCTCGTGATTTAATGTTGTGTGGTTGTGAATTTCACTTAATCGGAATACAGTGCCATGCACAGGGATATACCACGATAAGTGGGACTCGGTTGGATCAAATGACAAGATACACCACGATAGGTGGGACTTGGATTGATCCAATGTTACAATTTGAAGATACTAACCACTGAGGTACCTCAATATTTTCAGCCAGTTACTTTCTGCCATAAAGTTAATCAGCAATATGTGACATTCCTCAATTAATGTTAGTTACGTCAGGTTTACCTTGGCATCAGTCTCCTTATATCCGTAAACAAATTAAATAAAAAATAATTGGTAGGAAATACTGAAATGCATCAAGTAGTGTATGGGAGCCATTTAGCGACAAGTAGAGTTGTCACCAAAAATCAGACCGCGGCAATTGAGCGAGAACGATTTTAGACCTAAAACCACAGCTTGTGACAACTTAGCGACAATGGGAATTTTATATAGCAAACAGCATACGTTCGGTCTGTATAGCGACAAGTAACAGGGTACAGAGGTACAGGTAACGTTACGGTACTGGACACTTGCAAAATTGTTACGAGAGGAAGACCTAAATACGCTCAGCTGCCATTCTAGGTAGGGACAAATCAAATATTGTAGACACACACACATTAATATATATATATATATATATATATATATATATATATATATATATATATATATATATATATATATATATATATATATATATATATATATATATATATATATATATATATGTATATATATATATATATATATATATATATATATATATATATATATATATA